GTGTGTGTGTGTGTAGTTTTTGAGGATTTCTTCCTGTTGTCAGCCCCGAGAAGAGGAGTTTGAACGCACCGCAGCAGCAAGATAAACACAAATAACGGAAAGGTATGCAAACAAAACAACAACAACAACAACAACAACAACAACGCAGCCATGACAACACGAAACGTAACACGACGTAACCCGGAAACCGCGTTCAGGGTTTGTTTACGTCCCCCTGCTAACAGGGTTAGCTGGAGGCTACCTGTGCAGAAGTGCTCAGACTCGTTTATCTGTTTTAACTCGTGTTTTTTTTTAAAAAACGCTGGAAACCTTTTTAACAGCATTTTGAATGATTTATCCACCTGTGACTTCTAGTGACGTTTGGGGCTCTTATCAGTGAGTTTGACCTTTGAACTTGATGCACTAACTCTTCTGTCAATCAGTGCACAATGTACAAATGTCTGCATTGTGGAAAAAAAAACTTAACACCTTTTAAATTAGTTTTATCTTCTAAGTTAAAGCCAAGATGTGTTTTGAAGATCGATGAAGTCAACTTGCTCTGTTTAGGTTTATGTTCCAGTCTGTTAATGTTAAAGAACAGAAGTGTGTGTATATATTTAGGTATATGCATGCAAGAAAAAAAGCCTATGTACCTTTTTATAGTAATAAAACATATACAATATATGCCAAATGTATATATATATATAGTAAACGTGTGCCACAGTAGAAATGAGATGAAAGGCTGAGTGTTGAAATGTTGCTGCATTACCATGAATAATTTAATGCCATCCATTACAGTACGGGAGCAATAAGTAGTATCTTTCTACTGTTATTTTATTCAGGCTGTGTTAAAACAATAGTTGTAGTTCACACACAAAAGTTAGGGCTGCACAATTCATCTAAATATCATAAAAAAAGAGGTAAAATTAGTGACAAAACAGCAATTTTAACAAAAGTACTAAGGCTGCACAATTAATCGCCCCCCCCAAAATGTATTTATTTATGTATTATTTGTGGTTTATTTGATAGGGACAGATACAGTAAACATAGACTGACTGAAAACAGCTATCTGGTGCAGGTATCAAACTGTTTATAGCAGATGTTAATTCTCAACACCCTAGAGGGGCTTTTATGGAAATAAGAGGTTAAAGCAGGAAGGTAAAAAAGAGTAAACAGTAAGACACAAAACACAGAATTACAGACACATTTTAAAACTGTAAAGTACAGGTATGTTGCTTAATTAACCCAGATTTGGTGGCTCTCTTAAAAGTTATAAAGTTATTGATCAGGTTGCGACTTTGCACCTCTCACAGGAAAAAGCTGTCTGGGTAAAAGATGTTTTACAATTGCCACTTGAAGCTGCTCTGGTGCTGTTTGCAGAGAGTCAATTTAAACACTTAAAGACAAGCTTTACATAGTGGTGATCAATAACATTTGCAGCGCTTAAGATCTTGTATTTACCTAAAATGCGGCGATACGGGGTACCTTGTTTGCTTTTGTCCAAGGTCTGATTATAAAGACACACTATGGATTTAACTACAGAAACCAGGTAGTTAAAGATATAAGTGTGAAAATAATTAAATTTACACGCACAATCACATGATTTTGGGTATCACTTCTTGTTCTTCTATCTTGTTTTGTGTTGACTCAATCCTCTGGTTTGAAGGCCTTGGCTCATTCATGTCATTTCTTAGTTATTACAAAATGACCAAAAACTTGTATCGTGTTATGTTTTAAAGATTCTGGCTAAGAATGTAAAGATATGTCGCAAGATAGTGAACTCGCGGTACAATTATGTGAAGATTGAAATCTGTGAGATGACAAATGAATTGTGATATTGGTCGTGGTATCAAGGCGCAAAGACATCAGTTTCACTTCAGGAAATGAAATAAGCATTGTGATTTTCACAGTTAATTCCCTACCTAAGGAAACAGATTCTATAAATTGATAAAGAAAATATATTTTGTTGATTTTATGTGAGAAAATCTTTTTCTTCAATCTCCCTTTATGTTAAAAAACAAATTGTATTGTGAGCGCAGTATCGCAAATTGTATTAACTCATGAGTTGAGTGTCAGTATCCCTAATTCTGGCGGTTTCACGACGAATAGGCTTATTCTGCTGTCAGGAGTACATATCATATAGTTTAAAACATTTTAATGCCAGCGTGTGTGCAGAATGTAATTAGTTTTTATTTTATTGAGCTGCAACGTAGTACATTGTTGCACCTGGTTGGAAGGGAAGAAGAAGTCTGGAAAGTGCCTGTGTGTGTATTCAGTTCTGAAAAACACAAAATGTTCTTTCTGTGACTTCTTGAACCTTCATGGGTTTGTAAGGTTTCTGTCTTTTTTCTTCTGCTATTCCAGTTGAATGATGACGGCTTCATAGCTTTATATCAAACATGTTCCGCAAAACACATTTTCTAAATTGCTTTTGCGTCATTTCAGAAGTTGTGTATATATATTTTCGATTTATAAAGTCAATATAATACAGCAACTATTGGCTATGTAAAGGTATAGAGTACTGGCCTCCTGAGCTGAGAATGACATCACCCCCCCTCCCCCTTTACCTGTGCTGCTATCCCCATCACTCTGGTTTGTTTACATAGCTGGTCTGCTCCGTGTGCCAATGTATTTCAACCAAAGCAGAGTCGGTGATAGTTGGAACGGTGGAACGACTAACAAAGACTGTCTTATTTTGTTTCTGCCCACTTTGAATTAAATTATAATGATATGCGATGACCGCTTTTTTTCTATGGCCAATATTTCCCATCCTGCTCTGGGAATTAAGGATTTATTTTCGTGATTGTTAGAAAGACTAACCAAGTCGGTTTTCGTGAGTTTTATTTTGTTTCTGTCCTATTGTTTTGGTCTGAGATGCTGGTGCTCCAGTGCGACATCCAGAGGCAAGTGACTTTTGTATGATCTCTAAGGCCATCACATTGTAAATCATTTGAACCCGAATTGTGATTCAATCTGTATTTGATTTTGTTACATTAATTAACATCTATCTAACCTAATAATTGCACTTTTGAGTACTGGACGTTCAGTTGAGGCTGTCATTTACTATCAGCATTCAGCAATTTTTTTTCACGCTTGTCTGAACCTTCCAGTGTGATCTATAATTGTGACCTTCTGAAATGGACATTGCTGGTGTTAAATTTTAAATTTTGTAATGTGCTTTGTCTGTCTGGTGGTGCCGGTCTCAACTATTTCCAACAGAGATGAGAATGGAAAGGAAATAAATGAGTTTGTGTCTGTTGTATGTTTCCGATTAACAGCAGTGACCTTATGTGTGCTTTGTTGCTTTTGCCTTTTTTCTTGCTAGTGAAGACCAGGAAGTGAAATAGACCAAATTAATGTTTATCCAACAAGAAATACCAGAGTGGACTCAAGACACGACCTTCGAGATGATAGATTTTACCCATCCAAGAAGATGAAGTTGAGTCTCATTCAATAACCCCATCTTTTGTTTTTTTAACTTTTCAGCTTTGCATTACTATCGAAGCGTTGTGTCCCTTCTCCTGCTCCAGGGCCCCTAACAAGGAAGCTTTCCCCTGATTGGCCAGCAGGAGGCCTCTTTGCGGGTGGTTGAACTGAAAGCCCAGCTAGGACCTACACAGACACAAGGCTCTCGCTGTTGGCAGCCGAGCCGCAAGCTTTACAGCAAACCCCAACACACCTACATACTGACAACACCTCCTTCCCCGAGTGCTGCAGCCATCAATCTCCTTAACCTTCTGAAGATACCAAACACAATGTCCAATCCCTTGTATAACCCCAATGCCTCTGGGAACCAAAGTTCTACCCAGGGGCAGTATGGACTTTCCAATATACAGGCAGGCAAGGACCCTCGGACAGTATCTTCTCATCATGGATCTCAGTCCAGTTTCGGGATGGCCTCCTACCCAATGTCCTCAACCTCTGCCTCTCTAGGACACAGACACTCAGACGTTGAAAGTGGCAGTAGCTCCTTGGACTGGTCATCAAACTACAAAAGGCCCACTGCTGATAACCCTAAATATTATTCATCTGCTTCGTCTAACTATGCAAGCGGTGGTGACAGCAGGTTTAATGCTCCCAGAGAAAGAGAACATGATCAGCAGTCTATTCCGGGGTTAGGTGATTATGACTATCCAGTGCCGGACAAACCTGCAGCCCCCACAGAGTCCAGTCGACCCAAATACACCTCTGAATCAGC